AATTACGCGTCTTGCCAACATGCCGTTTACCCAAACAGACTAGCCTATCTGTTCACTCACTGGGAGTTGGAAAGTCTACGTGACCGGCGGCAGAATCAGAACAAGCTGTATGCCAAATTCCTGCAGGGTTTGTGTGAGGCCTACCCTTCTCCTGCTCGCGGGATCTTCAAAACGGCTTCCACGCTCTACAGGCAAGGCAAAAACTCACGAGGGAAATTATTTGGTGATCCAGGAGTCTCCTCCATCACGAACTACTGGCGTGTGATGAGAATTGTGTTTACAGTGGCTATCGTATTCGTAGAAGTTAAGGCTTACTTTAATCATATTTCTTCCGATGTTAGGCTTCCCTGATAATTTTATTGTATCTTCTAATGCTGTCTTCTCTTATTTATCATATCGATCGCCTTCAAGTCAGTTGTCTAGATGCTGCTGCTATTTGTAGACTTTGGAATAGATTGCCTTCAGAGATTGTAACTTCTCCGACTCTTAATTAGTATAAAAGATCAGCTAAAATGTTTTCTTACGTAAATAGCTGGCCTTTTAGCTTCTCATTCCTTAGCTGTATCTTGACCTCTACCAACACCTTTGGTGATAATAAATCTCGTTTTTTTCAGTATGGCTCTTTTATTTAGCTTACATTGATAGTAATAATAATAATAATAATGATAATAATAATAATAATATTGGCGCAATCATTTGTTCAAGTACATATCCCTGTGGCTGATCTAGATTTGGTCTGCAGGTGCACCGAGTGTGGAAACCTCGTGACTCGGGGCGTGGAGCGCCTGGTGGCCTGCGTGCCCGCCAATACCTGCATCACACCACTACTGACAAGTCTACTATACACATTCAAGGTGCGATGTTGCATATTACATAGCCATTTAATGAAATCTATATGGAGAACCTATACATGCTAGTACACGTCATGACTAAGATTCCCAAATTTCCTACCCCTAATAAATTTACAGTATTTTACTATGAATTAGTACAGCTAAATTGTATGAGTAGGATGCTCTCTTACAAAGACATCAATGTTAACTCTTACCTGCCTACGAAAAGGGACGCGACTTGGAGCCTGACTGAACATGTGCGGCAACTGAAGACCGACCTGAAGACCTGGAGACTAGTTTACTGGCGGTTGTGGGGTCAGGTGTGTATGCCCATGGATATATATATGTGTGTGTGTGTGCGCATATATGTATTTATATATGTAATGATGAAATATGCACGTCTTACCAAAGAGTAAAGTTAAGCCGCCATAAATGCTTCTTTATTCTTTTGAATATATTCAGTTGAACACCTCAGAAGAATTTTGTAACCGTTTTTAGGTCCGCTTCTTCTCGTGTCCCCGCCGTCTGCATGATTATCATTCGTTTTAAAGGTACCACATTAAGAGAATTTCAAAACCCATCTCAGGTATGCTCTCTTATCATGCTCCAATCTGTATAGCCAGACTTTAAGAGACACGCTTATTCATCTGGAATCATTTAGTTATATTCATTAGAAGCCTGTTGTATCCCTCCTCAGGTACACTTCCTACCGTGCTCCACTTGCGGCGCTGTCTTCGGGAAGTGAAATGAAGTTCTGTCGCCACCAACCGCCTCGACGCCGCTTCTCGGACGTGGACCTGCTCCTTGCTAGTGACACGTACCCTTGCTGTGGTGCCCGTGCCCTCAAGTTCTCCCCTCTGCCCGTGAGGAATGTACGTGCGAAAGGACACCGTCTCGTGGTTCTGAATGTGAATTTCTTACTGTCTTATCTGATTTTTTATAGTGATTCCCCCTTGGTAATTTTTTGTGTGAATTCCGTTACTGTACAAGTGGAAGTTACCTCGTCTGAGTCTGTTTTTTTATGTCTCACGTTTTCCAGGTTGCCTCGCGTCTGACCACACTGTGCAACTCAGCCAGGGCGAGAGCGACATATGGGGTCCCATTCCTCTCATCTATGACGACCTCCTCACGTTCCAACTCCTCGTTTGCATCGACCCTCCCTATCAACTCACCCCTGAATCCAAGGTGAAGCTTTGTTACTAGTATATAGGAATATTTATAATTTAGAGCTGTGTTCTTTTGATTTAGAGCTTTGTTCTTTGTGATATAGAGCTGTGAGTTCTGGGATTTAGAGCTTTGTTCTTCGTGATTTAGAGCCGTGTGTTCCTTGTGATTTAAAGCTGTGTTTTTTATTATTGTATGCTGGTGACTGAATGATGAATTAATGTGTGACTCAAGGTTTATGGTATTTGCTTTGGGTATGTTTCAGAATGTGCTATGGACAGGGGTACCTCTTGTGCCACCTAACAAGGCTGAGCGGAGCTTCCTCGACCGGTCATGGTTAGCGCACTTTTCTCATGGTGAGTTCCCCATCATTTTACCACTGCCGCTGCTTTTGCAAAATTTCTAATTCATAATCATGATTCTGTTTTCATCTTTAGCATCAGGTTCTCTGAAGTGAATCTGATCAACCTGTATTCTTTAGGTGTAGTCCTACAAAACTTTACCAA